CAAAACTGACCGAATATCATATTAAGATCATTAACTGGAGAAATGTTAATATGATATTTTACAAATATCTTGAATGTTCTTTCAATGCATTAGTTTAACACTGTTCATCATATTCTACATAGATCATATTAAATTACCTCTTGTCACAATGTAGTTGCTGTCTCTTGAGAATCAATGATATTTAATTTAATTAACTGTATTAATTTCTTCAATAAGATTAACCTTGATGAATAAAATACACAATATCGAAAAATAGTGTATATTATTGTAGTTTTTAATAAAATAACTGCTATTTACTTTCATCGTAACAGTAACTTATTTAACATTTACCAAATCTTTAGTTCTGATGAATGAAACTTTTTAATAAACATTGAATCGGATAGTTTCAAATAGATGAGTATGGATAAAAAAATGAATTTTGTGACAGATACAGTTAAGACTGGAACAATACAACAAGTGAATATACTTTAAATTGTAAATGTGTAATTGAATATCCATGAACGAAAATCGATTACACAAACTGTTTACGTCATCAATCCTATCATTTGAGCATTATTTAATTATTTTTCATTAACGTGAGTTCAAATGATCAGTCGATATATATATATGCATTACAAAGATTCTGTCAATTTAAAGCAAGCCACTTCTTTAAAATATATAAAATTAAGCACATTATCAAAATACTTTGTCTATCTCTCCTGAAATAAATTCTGGATAAAAAGGATTTTTGTTTTATATTCTGGAAGTGAATAATTTATAACAAGAAGTATTTATTATAAGTAATTGCGTTTTGCGCCATTTAGCATTAAACCACTAAAAAGAAATGCTTTAATTACCTAGGCATATTACACAGAATACCATTGCATTCTTATGAAATAGAAATAATAATCAATCTCTAGAATACGTAAAAAATTTTATTATCACAAAAAGTAAATCAATGTATTCATTAAACTCAGATACAAAATCAATTTTCTTTTGAATATTGTGATTAAAAACTACGTTTTACCAAATACTTACGTGTGAAACCCGATCAATTTATCAATAAATTTGCACGTTTATTTATTTGTATTCTATCTTTAATCTCCAATGAACACCTTGTTTAGTTTTGTTTTCATTTGACATCTCACGTGATACTTATTGAATGTGCGAATGTTTTGGTTGTAAACACAGATTTTATTCTGTATGGCAAACATTTTGATCGTTTGAATAATTCACCTATAGTTTCTAAAACATAAAAAAACTCTTGAACGTTATTTAAAATGGAAATCGATAGACTGACTAGAGTAATAAATTAATTATATGCTGAAGTTGTTGTTTGATAGTCTAATACAAAGACTCGGACTTTTAATGCTAGAATGCTTCAAAATTTATTACGGATTTTTCCCTTATGAATAAATATCCATTATCTTATGAATTCATGACCATCAGGTTAATAAAGAATTAGGGTCTTTAAATGTAACTTATAATATCAAAAATATGCACCATCACTGTAAGTAACATTTAATCTTGAAAATAGGACCAGTTAACTAATCAATATACGATGTCAATAACCAAGTGATGACTGCGTTATAATTAATGCTAATTATCAAATGAACAATGTGTATTGAGGTGATCTGATAGAGAATTTCACAAATTTTGATGACCATTTTCATCAGTGATCGATGTCCATCAAAATCCTGTTGAAAGCTATGCAGATTCAAACAGCTGCAGCATGTGAACTCGATTCAGCCAAGGAGAACATAGTAATTCACCGATCACATTGAATAAAAACCATGGTTTTTTATAAATGGATCCAAATTGTAGGCGCGAACCACAGTGTTTAGAGATTCGAAAATTGTTGAACTAATTATAGATGGATTAATGGATGATCACAATTATAGAATATCAAATTAATATAAAAAAGACAATGTATATGCTCTAGTTCTCAGCAGCTTTTTAGTTAACATCAGCTTGTGATGGGAAAGACTTTTAAAGAAATGAGCATCTAATTATATTGCGATAAAGTTGTTGATTGAGGTAATAAACTGGTGCTTTTGGGATTAGGGTCATGCAACGCACCAAGGAGTTTGTCGCAATATAATGAGTAAACTGAAGATCAAATGCTGTTGGTGCCAAAAAACTTGATACACTACGCCTAAACGTCTAGACACATTTACCTTCAAAGCATACAGCAAAGTCCGATTATTAGTGCTCATCAACAGCGCATACAGAATCTTGGATGGACATAAGGCTAAAACAACAGGAAGAATGTATTATTACTAAAAATAGATGAATATATATCCATGCAGACAGGAATCTTGAAGTTAAGTGTGTAAATAGAAGAGATGGCTGCTATTTCTGTAGTGATAAGCTTTCAATGCAACTGTAGGATTTTTCTAAGGCAAAGAACAGGATACACTAATTACTAGACCAGCATTTCCATAAATACTTCCAGAGTGTTGGGATAGCCAATCGAGAAGAAAGCCACGCACATTGTGGATTGATGAACTTATCGATTAAATGCTTAAATATTTCAAGAGCAGTCGATCGATGAACTATTGGATTTAATATTCAAATATTTAAACGACAATATCGATTATATGTATAATTGTATAAATACGCATGTTTGATTGTATGTTTTTGATTCTGTTAATAAGTGTTCTCCAACGTCTTCCGTCTTCTTATTTTTAAACGGTGGGAGTCTAACGTTCGGGGGTCATTAATACAGTGGTTTGGCGTTACATCAAGCTGAAAACATAAAACAGAGGTATTGCAAATTTAGGTATATTTAGCTATTTTTGACTCTTGTTGACATCAACCTTAGTCAGTGGCTAGCAGAGAGATAAACAGAAAATATATTCACAGTATCTTCAAAAATCTCTCAAGATTAAAATGTGAAAATTAAATGTTACTGCTTGTTTTCTTTCATTGTCAAAGAGTAGTTTGTATTCGATATATGAAGTGTATGTCAAGTATACTTTGATGACATTTCTATCAATTTACAAACTGAAATGATGAACAATAAAAAATTAATACTGAACCATATTACTTCTTAATAAAGATGAAGCAAACTTGTGATGCTGTCAGGTGATATGCATTAGATTGAAATAATTATGTTAAGTAAACTCCTTGTTAAATGTTACAACCACCACAGCCATAGAGTCGTCCATACATACACACGATTACCAAACTATGAAGAACAAGTAAAAGATGTGAAGGTTTAAAAGAAAAACGGCAATATTTCAACATGGAATAATGTATAATTTCTGCTTAGTGTCTTGTTTCATTTCGGTGATATACAAATATAATCGTTCAGGTGATAAAAAAATGTCTATATACTACAATTATTTATGTGCATTTTTTTCTGAAGACGAAAACAAGAGTTGAATACATTTAGGATTTTTCTTTGCAGTAGTTGCTTCTAATAAAACAAAACAATTTCGCATTAATGATATTTAACTTAACCTTTTCTAGTTTGTCCAGTTACAAAAAGTCTATAATCACTAACATCATCATCAAATCGTAAGCAAATAAACGTGACTGACTACAGTGATAATAAAAAAAACAACCACTTTATAAAAGAGTTGATTACTTGAATTGTATTGAATATCAAGTGAAACAAATAAATTAATTTTAAAGAGTGTTATGATTGTATTCACTGGAACATTCATCTCATTTGCATGAGTATACAATAAAACAATCATTAATGAATAATGAAATAACAAGGAGAGAACTAGTAGCAAATTTTTTAAACATTTTGTCGAAATATTGTTTTTATTATCTTTATGTTTTTGATTTGAATTATGTTTTCCGGTTAGCGCTTTTTTTGGCGAGTTAGTTTTTTTTTGTGTGGGATAAGGTCTCTAACCGCATGCCCAACCCTCCTCCTTGATCCGGGCTTGGGACCGGCAGTAGCCCCAGAAGGTCTCTAGGTGGAATTATTATCTATGTAATAGGAAATTTTTTTGACAAGCTAATTGATAGACAGCAGTTTATTCAAGACTCTAAGTTATTCATTCCATTTAAAGCAGTACATAAATCATGAGCAATGACAGTTATTCGACAAACGTTTTATTGATATACATATAAGATTTACTAACTAAGTGAAGTATAATCAGTTCAGTAGGACGGGTAAGTTTTTATCGAAACACGTCCAATTTTATATTAGCGTTTAATGACAGATTAAAGCTAGACTCCGCCATTCTCTTAGAGTTATCATTTAGGAGTCTGACTTATAAAGTTGTGTAGATAATTATGTCAAAGAATCTACCGATGATTATATACAGTGATAGTTACTCTCAACCTGACATGGTAGCTACCTCTGTTTACTTAGATGATATTTTCAAAAGTTATAAAAAAGAACTTAATATAATGGCATCTGGATCTACATATGCTCATACTGAGTGAGGTCGTAAAAATTAGCTTTAAAAACATATCTATCTTGAAAGATTTGAGAAAACAAAGATTTGTAGTCAGTTTCACACTTCACCTTTCACGTTTCAGAAAGTTTTCATCTATGTTTTATCTCTTGGAGGTAAAATATAGTCAAGTCTGACAGTGATTATCACTTAGTGATTGATCAGTGTAAAATTATGATTTACGCTGCTTCAACAATTTTCCACTAAAGATTTCATTTGCAAACATACAAATATGTTAGTTTTCCAGTATTTTTTGTTTGTTATGTTATTAATTTGTAAAATTTTTAGAGTATTATGACGAATCAATAAAGCTTGAGTGTGATATAGAAACTGTTTCCATTGTTTAAACTCTGTAGATACTAACCGGAGGTCAGTAAACAGATGATAGAAAAACAGATTTCAAACACGTGATACCAGCTTAAAATTATCATTTTCCTATTTCAGTAATTAAAATTCACTGTCGAGATATGTTGATCAGTTGTTCTCATGGTGATTTATTGATCTTCTTTGTTACTAACCAATCCTTAAAGAGAGCACATGGGTGTAAGCTTATTCTAATTGGTTTAATTCTGTAAGCTATTTAAAGGTTAAAGCTATTCTAATGTGCAAGATATATGTACTGTACAGTTACAGTGACATTACTTATGCGACAAAGTTGTTAGTACACCGAAATCCTACAGAAAGAAAAATCAATTTTGTTTTAAATGGCTGATCCGCGGTTCCAACCACCATACAACGAGCCACCGTATCCATCTGGACCTCAACCGCCATACACAAACGAATCCCAAAGTCCATATCCAACTCAACCTCCAAATTCTTATCCATCCAATATAGGTTCACAATGGCAAGGTGAGATGAATCCGTTTGAGGTTCAATTGTTATGAATACTGGAAAATAAGCAGATTGGGGATATCTAAAAACTTGATAATTGCTCTTTCCTAAATTCAATAAAAGGGTTTGAATTAATTGATAAAATCTTTTTATGATTGTTAGTTATCGTCACTTTGTTGTGTTCGTTCTCTACTTAAATTTTAATTGACAAGCTGTCATATATAGAGTAGTCTAGTTATATTTTAGCGAGACCATTCGTTTACAGGTTGTCCTAAAATAGGAAATCTTATTTACAAATTCTTCAGTTTTCTACTAACTAGTGATTGTTAAAATTCCAAAATCATTTATGTTACATAATTACCAACATGAAAGTTATTGACCACTTGCCACTTATGTTTGTAATATGCATACAAAAGCATTCAACATGAAAAACACTGTTACGATGGGCTTATTCAAGTTGTTAAAATCATTTTGTGCGACCTTGGAGTCTAGACTATGCTAGTTAATTTCAACTAGATGAAGACTTTCTATTACTTCTGCCGAATAATATTTAATTGTATTTAATATGGATATTGGATATTACTATAGATGTTTAAGCGTTTAGAATCAAAAGAATTTGGATGTGTCATTTGAGTTTGGAACCAAACAATATCTAATAGGTTTTTAACTGTGTGTTACTAAATAAATCTTTCTTGACATGTTTGATTTGATTTTAAAGGTAGTTTTCCTTTGACATTAATTGTCTTCCTACTTTCCTGGTGGACGGTGCAACGTATCACTACAATTATAAACATTATTAACAATCTGTCATCACACTAACTAATTTACTACAGACTTGTGTCTTGTATTTGCATGATATAATACTCTACTCAATGATATTAAGAAGTCTTAACCAGAAGTACAATACACTATAGTAGACTATTTTTGAGTAACTGAAACTTATTATGAATAGGAAAATTTTCACTTTTGTTATTTCATCGTCATACGACGTAAAGATAACAGTTATTTTGTGTTACACGGAAGCCATATATTTCAGTGTAGCTACTGTGCTCAAGTTTCCATGTTTGGGGTCTGCATAGCTATTTGAATAGAAGTAACATGGACAGTAGAATTGATATTGATATTCAATAGTAATGATCGTAAATGGGATTATTAATATTATTTGTAATACAAAATCTATTTTTCCCTTTATAACTTTTGACTTTTCTGTCATAAATTAGTTTAGTAAGTTATGAGGAATATTAAATTAATAATTTGATCATGGTTATTTATTGCCTGTTTCACTGAGCTTACGAATAATACAACTGAAGGTTAGCTATATATGTTGATTTTTAGGTTAGTAAGTCTGGATAATCGATAAGGTTGTGAACATGCATACATTATTGTAGTTAAGACGGGCGTTTCACGCATAAATCTATGACTTTTTCTAATATTTACTTGTACTACAAAATAAGAGTATATGCTTAAAACAGCTAAATTGGTAACTATATTAAAGTAGGCAACCACTGACTTAAGTTACTTCCTATGGATTATATCATGTGAGTGACCAGTCGATTCACGGTTGAAGTTTTCAAAATTTAGAGTTAAGAGGTTAGGAATCGTTTATTGCGTAAATTGAAAATCATAATATTTCTCTAAATCCTAACCATTTTATTAGAAAGCATCTGTTTCTATTTTGTCTGTTTTATTTCTTCTAACGGTTTATTTATAATTATCTTTTCCGCTTGATTGTGTTTTGAAGTATGAAATATGAAAATGTTATATATTTGGTGTATGTTTCTTAACATCACTTGTATCTTATAAAAATTATTTTATGTGTGAGTCTAGATAATAGGAAACATAAATGTTGTGCTGTAAAGAAAAGTATATTATACACATCAAGTGAAGATGTTATTGTTGAGACGAATCTACTAAAAATGATTGTACAACTTCATTTGAAACTTATTGTAAAATAATGTAAAAAGTATCTATTTCTGATGATCAGAGGCAGTTTAGTGCATACTCGATATAATTTTTAATAATCAGAAAGGTGGTAACTGAAACTACATGAAAATCTATGCTTCGTTCATTTCTGAAAATAAAACTCTATGACTATCACAGGTATAACCCTTTTAAGTGTTAAGAAACGTGATATGTATGTAATCTTATTTTGAACAGGAGAGGCTTACCCATATGCAAATTATAATGAAAACCCACATTCTAACAGAAACAATACTGATGGTGACGGTGGACGCACGGAGAATCAATTTGTTGCATCAAACTTTAGTGATAAAAAAATTCGTCATGCATTTATTCGTAAAGTAAGTTGTAGTTTATGAATGATATAGTTTAATGAAGCTAGTTTTCAAACTAGACTACCATTGCTATTAAAATCTGAACATCTAAATCTTTAATTTAAATAAGTTTATTATCATTTCAAAATTATTTAAGGACAGTTAAGTGGAAAATTGTTTACTGAAAATGAACTATAAAAGTAAAAATATCAAATTTTCAAGTGGGTTGAAATCGGGTTAACAAAAAGAGACTCAAAATCTATAACTAAAGGACTGATACAATAATTCAAAAATTAACTGACTCTTTTTCATCCATCCACATGGTAGATTATTCATCGATAGAATGGTTTTGTAAGCTATATCAGACTTTGTCTCATTCAGATTAGATTAGAACAATGAGAAGTCGCAAATCTCATTAGATTGCTTGAATGTTTCAGTTTGGTATAATTGTATAAATGGTTTCTGAACTTTTCACGTGTTAAACTATCGATATTCTCGGGAAATAATAGTGCTGTCAAGTGATTAACTGCTCCATTAAGGTAGATTTTATTGAAAACTATCTAATTAATATATCAGATTGTAATTTCTGACCCAAATCTCTGGTGTTAAGATTATTTTACGCGCTTAAGAAGAGTTTACACCATGGCGTGATCTACTGGTCTAACAGATATTCTTCCACAATCAATAACATTTGAAGGGTGTAGTAATTCGAAAAATTGAAATGTCTTCATTACAACTAAATCTTCTCTATTGTATCTAATTTCTTTCTAAATGTATATGAAATTTCATTCAATTTCTTTTATTTAGGTATATTTTACTCTTAGTGTGCAATTATTATTCACATTTGGGATTGTGTGTATTTTTTGCCTTGTGTAAGCAATACTTTTCCGTTAAACCAATCTATTTCTGCTAGTACACCTGTGAAGAATTGGGTTCGGAGTAATCGCTGGTTCTACTATTTAGCCTAGTAAGTTTATACATAAATTTTGATTGTTTAGTTTCAAAAGATAGTAGTTTCTTTGGTGGATATTTTTTTCCGTAAGAAATAATAGCAGTTGATAAAAAATATCATAAATTAGTAAGCAATTGACTTAATGCCGAAATGATTTGAAAAAGTTGTGCAATGATATTCATCAAGCTACTAACCTATGATATCAATAAAATGAAGTTCGAAATTGTAAATGAGATGTCAGAGCATTCCGATAATAACAGAAAAAATCTTCAAATTTAAAAAATACTGTTAATGGGACTGACAGTTATTTGTTTAGTAAGAGTATATTTCTTTACAAGAAGACCAAAACTGAATTGAGTCTAGTGTCAGAGACTTTCTTGTTTTCATTTGTATCTTATTCGATATTTTTTCTGAAGGAGAATAAAATGTTTTCATATCACGAATTCATTCTGATTTCGTTCTTCCAAGGTACTAATAATATTTTTATCACTCTTATATATATTTATATATAGTGCGGTATTTTTCGTAACCTATTTGGTACTTGGTTGTATTGTAAGTGTACGGAGAAGATTTCCTGGGAATTATATATGTTTAACTGTATTTGTAAGTTTATGTGAATCATGTGTATTTAAATTTTATTCTATGTTTAAAACAATGAAACAATATAGTTATGATGGTAATTATTTGATTACGTTTAAACTGTTGGATTATTTTATGTCTCAGAGGCAGTTTGATGCTTCACATTTAATTATAGGTCAATTATCGGTTAATCTAAATAACAGTAGTATTCTTTAGAGAGCTACTATGTCCTGATATTTTTCAGATATATAGTTTTACCACTGAAGTTGATAACTGAAGCCGTGAATAAATTGAGAATGATGAATAATGTCAAACAATTCCAAATCTATTTGTTCACACTATTTAGCTACTGATTCATATTGACTCTTCAATCCTGTCATAGTAATTTGGGTTAGCGTTTCTTGTGAATCTTTTCTCTAGGCATCAGTTGATGGATTCACGGAATATGTCACAACAAATGTGCTAGTTTTTAAGAGATACTGAGGAATAAATTTCAAGTGTTCATAATCATAAACAGACATTTTTACATTTTATCAAACGAGTTCACGGAAAAATAACTGGCAGCGCTTTGCCAGCGTTTACGTACATAGTTCATGTTCTTAGATTTCTATTCATTCGATTAGTATTCCTTTAGAAGTCTCATAGGGAAGCGTCTTATCACTGGTATATTTCAGACCAACAGTATGAGTGATACCAGAATGACTACTTGAAATATTTTATGGATCATTGCCAATTCGATATCAGTTTCCTTATTAAGAATAGACGAAATAAGCTGGAGAAGTGAAATATTGATAAATATCAACAACTGAACTGTTAAAGATAGAGTGGTGAATATTGTTAAACATATATCATCCTAAAGACATTTAACATCTGAAGTCGGTTACAATTTAGAATGTGAGGACTAACGCTCGTCTCAAGATCTAAAGGTTCTAGATTCTACTCTTTGATGGGTAGAAGTTGAGGAGAGCTCGGTTACTTTATATGACGAAACACGTATTCAATATTCCCGGATTTTTAATGGTACCTTAATTTATTTCAGCTAGTGACGAAAATCAAGTATAAGAGGATTTAAAACCTAGAAACTATCTTATGAACTGAATGTTACAATAAATCTAAACGTGTATTGAGAATGTTATTGTGTTTGATGATTACTTCAGCCATCGGCTCCTCAGTACAACATTGCTGTTTTATAAATCAGTTCATTTCAAGACCTTACACCAACAAAATTGACATTGACCGAACTGAAGGATTACCAAATCGGTTACTCATTTTTGTGTATCCTTGTTTACGGTGAATAAATAGCATATCAATTTTCAGTAACATCATGTCATTAGCGCTTGATATTAAAGCCGACATAATAAAACACCGATTCCCCAAGGATTTTAGTTGTTAGATAATTAGATCAAGAATCAATACACCTTAATATTCATCATTACTGATTTTAAGATATTTGAATTGCTAACGAAATGCTACTACTATCTTTTCCCTAAAATGCATTAGATCGTTCAGAAAATTGATAATATGACGACAGCAAGTCATTTCATCGATTTACATGAAGTTTGATCGACAAAATTCTTCAATCTTTCATTTTAGTGCGTTGCTTCAGGAAGAAGTAAAAATCGAAACAGATTTTCCACTCTAATAAATGATTTATAGTTTGCTTTTTGAAAAGAATGTTGTTCGTAATAAATATTTGTAAATGAAGTTATTTTACTTGATAAACTTCTGACTATCATTTTGAAGTATTGCATTTAGAACATATTTCAAGTGCTAGATGATATCAGACAGATAGGAAGACATAGAAGCTGGTTTAGAACTCTTCAAACACTAATATTTATCTTGAGTACCATATCTAAAACAAGAATAGTTAAGTTACGATCACGAAAGGCTTTTATATGAATCCTAAATACTACTAATTAGATGCATATTTAGTGAGACAGTTTTTAAGTGCAATGGGTTTATGGAGGTTGTTGGATTTGATAATTTATATTATGGATTGACCTTAGTTAAGCAATTATTAAAAACCAAGAAGCTATGGACAGATGTTGCCTCTTGGCGTGGGACCCTTCAGCAGCGCGCATCCACAACTTCGTCAGATGTTGAATCCAGAACCTTCGATGTGTTGTAAACTAAAAACCAATTACTTTTAAATTGGTTGATTTAGTTTATGTTGAAATTTTTAGTTAATTTTCTTGAATAATGAAATTGAAGTTAATTGACAGAAATTTACTGACAAGTCTCTTATCAACAGTTGTACTGGCAAACTTTTCATCTTATAATATTGATAATGATCACTATGGCTTATTTGTAACTTCCAGATATTTTGTTTGTTTGCTTTTATTCTTTATTCTATCATAAACAGACATTAGCATTATCCTATATGGCCGGTTCAATTGGTGCATTCTATGGAGCTGAAGCTGCATTAATTGCTGTAGCGCTTACATTTGCTTTATGCGTCTGCATAACTCTCTTTGCAACACAAACACGTTTTGATTTTACAATGTGCTCTAGTCTGTTATTTGTACTTGGTTGTGCTGTTATGCTTACTGGGATTGCAATTATGATTGTGTACTTTGTTTTAGGACCAAATAAGGTAATTCAACCTGTTTTCCAATCTTAAATAGCCAAGGGTTGGTCATAACTTTTAAATTAGTTTTGGTTAGAAATATAATGTTCTACTGAATTGTGGAAGTCAGCTAAATTACTTAATATTTCGTTATTAATTGAAAATTTCAATGAGCTCAGACTTGAACCTTCATTAAGAATGTAGATTAGATGTAGATAATGAGATAAAAAAAATACTTTCGTATTAATTAGACTACATTCCACTTTATTCTAACTCTGTAACTATCACTTCGACTTATTAAAAAGTAGATTTGCTTATAATTATACCAACTCCAAGGTCACTTGAAATTGTTTGTTAACAACGACTCAAAAAAGTAATTACGGATAAGCTTTTGATTTATGCTCTGAATAACCAACCAATTTAGGGTCGGAAAATTTTAGCTCAAGATTAGTGCATATTTTGAAATCAGACGTTTGATTTGAATGATAAAGTTTAACACAACACTTGAATCTTCATCACTTAGTATGGCTGAATCAGTTCTAAAGTGAATTAAAACACACAGTTAAACACGTATACGCTTATCAATCAAATCCTGTTGAAACCATCAACCATTGACTAATATTAATGCGAACTATAACAAATCAATGAAATCTTTAGACCAAGAAAAATCGATACAATTAATTTGAGTTTAACTGTAATAAATCATTCAATAGTACTATTATAATTAGTATTTGTTGTAGCCGATTTGTATAAGGTTAATCTAGTTAGTGATTTTGTTTACTGTCAATGAATACAGTGGTATGATTTGAAAAAAAACAAGCTCATTCTTGTTAATTTAGTGATTGTTTTTCTCATATATGTACTGCTGACTGGCTAAAGTATGTATATAGGTTAGTCATATCTTATTATTCGGCAATATTGTCAATGAATCATTTTTATACATTTATGTAATTTTTAGATTCTACAAGGTGTTTATAGTGGTATACTAACCCTATTATTTGGTTTGGTGAGCTAATTCATTCATTAATGAATATATTACTTAATTTACATGCATTCAATATCACTTCTGCAGTATCCTATCGAAAAAATCTGTTGCGTATTTCTGACATCAAGTTTGTAGGCCAACATTTAGAATGTATCTTTAATAGCACATCTTATTAGACAAACTAATGGAATGGCGATGGGTTCACCTCTAGGCCCTTCCCCAGCTGATTTCTTTCTCTTTCAAGTAGACCTTTCAAGCTAGACCTTTTTTGCCGACACATCGATAATACTTTGATTATTGTGGGTCAGAACATTGTTAATAAACAAATTTTGGTGCATTTTAACAATATAAAATCAGAAGTTAGATTCAATTGCGAGAAGTGTGCATCAAAAATGTTCTTCGTCTGGCCACTACACGCATTTAATTAGCTTTGCATCCATCCATTACAAAAGAAACCTAGTCAGATGTCTTGCAAGCAAAGCCAGAAAGATAGGCTCAGACGACACCACAAACAAAGAGCTAGAGTACATTCATAATATGTTGATTGAAATGGATGATCCACAAAGTTTTCTGAGTAAACACCTGCATACATTGAACAGGAGAAAAAAGGATATCGACGGTGAATAAGAAACCTCTCTTTCTGAAGCTATAATTTAACGGAGATATAGCTGGTGACATGTTCCGAGATATACTGATTATAGCAATCAAAGCAACACTATCCAACTTACTGAATAATTATTATTGAGTAATTTATGGTTCCAATGAACGTTATTCTAGCGTCTAGTTTTCCAAACCGTCTGATCTATTACCTATTACGGAAACATTCATTATTCCTATCAAAACCAGTACAGCTCTCACATTATCCATTTGTACTTTCTATCCCACTGTTATCACTGATTCGTAAATTGCCTATCGGGTGTAGGCAGTAACTACCGTAGAGTAATTGGTAAGGTCGCGCAAAATCCTTAGATTGATCAAATTTAGACATTAACACTGTTGATGCCGGCCCAGTGGTGCAGAGGTTGGGCATTTGCGCGCAAGACCAAAGGTCCTGGGTCTGGATCCTTCGAGCAGCAGAAGTCGTAGGTGCACACTGTCGACCAGTCCCATACCAGGACGAAGCTGCCGTCCAGTGCTTTCAGGTTTCTGATGGTGGTCTAACAATGATTGATTCATGATTTCAACTTTATATAAGTTTATAAATATTCATGTATATTTGAATAAAACTTGATGAAGATCTAATTGAAAACAATATTGTTCACTTCTATAAGTTGTCGTCAGTGTTGATCAGTTCGGATTTTGTAAAACTCTCATGGCAGAATGTACGTACATTTGTCATATACTTTGTGCTTTAATTATCGATTCATGAAAGTTTAGCATCCAAAGTCAAATATACATTGCGACTACTTGTCTTCGATCGATCGACGATCGATTTACAAAATTTGAATGGGCTTGATATCTTTCAACAGAAATTAAGATAGTTTGCTTTTGATAACTGGATAGTTAATTCATTGTGACAAAATATAATTCACAGAAGGAAGTGGTAATTCTTACAAAAACAGGATATGTAAATAATTTGAGATAACTTTCCAAAAATGATGAAAGTAAGGCTTGTTAGATTATTATATAAATACACGGAAGGCTGTTTATATTTCAATTCAACTTATAAATGCAAAAATTAATTTCACATACGTACTTACGTCTGTTACCCCAAGTAGAGCATAGGCTGCTGACCAGCATTCTCCAACCTACTCAGTGAGGGGCCTGCTTTTCCAGTTCTGTCGTATCGGTGCTTATTTTTCTGATGTCTGTCTTCATTTTTCAGCGTCATGCGTGGTAATGGTGTCCGAACAAAGGATCCAAAGTAATTTGCGTAGACAACTGTTAATAAACGCTTGTTCTTCTGCATGATGGCTTTCGTACTTCTACAAGTTTCCACTCCATTCAGTAGAACTTTCTTGACATTTGTATTGAAAATTGTGACTTTGGTGTTGGTTAGAGTTATTTTGAGTTGCAGATGTTCTTCATTTTTAAAAATGCTACCCTTGCTTTGCCGATCCGCGTCTTCACACCCGTATCAGAACCCCTTGCTCGTCAATGATGCTGTCCAGATATGTAAAGAATTTCATATCCTCCAAAGCTTCTACATCAAGTGTGAGCTAGTTGGTGCATGTTGTGTTCAATCTGAGAATCTTGCTTTTCCCCTTATGTATTGTTGAGACCTACTGATACTGAGGCTGCCACCTAAATGGTCGTCTTCATTTGCATTTGTTGTTGCATTGGGACGGAAAAGCCAGGTCATCTGCGAAGTCCAGATCGTCCAGCTGCATCCTAGCCATCCATTGTATCCCGTGCCTCCACTCAGATGCTGACGTCTTCTTATTGCAGACGACCACCAGGAGAAAGAGAAAGGGTGAGAGTAAGCATCCTTGCCTGACACAAGTCTTCACCTCGAACGAGTCTGTGATCTGTCGTCCATGCACGATTATGCAGTTTAATGCATCAAAGTCGAAGAAGCGTCCATCGTGTTGTCCTGTCCACACTATAAAATGCTTTCTCGTGGTCAATGAAGTTGATGTGGGGTGGTGAATTCCATTCAGTTGATCGATCCACAATGATCCGTGGTGTCGCTCGCGATTCGGTTGGTACACGATCGATCCTTACGGAATCCTGCTCGTTGGTCTCGGAATTGGGCGTCTGCTGAATCTTTCATTCGGTTTAACAACACTCGATTGTGGAATTTTCCTGGTATTAAAGGAAGAGTGATCTCTCTGTAGTTCTCACATTTGCTGAGATCACTTTTCTTTGGTGTTTTGATTAAGTATCCCTCTTTCCAGTCTGTTGTTACTTGTTGTTCCTCCAAAGTGTTACTGAAGAGGATGTGGAGTCTCTTTGCAATTACTGCTACGTTTACTTTCACTACCTCTGATTGAATGTTGCCTGGTCACGCTGCTTTGCCACTCTTGATTTGTCTGATTGCCATGCTGATTTCTTGAATTGTCGGTGGGCCAAAATTGATTGGCAGGTCTGTAGGTGCTGAGTGGAGCTGATCGATCTTTCTTTCCAATCTGATGGTACTTGTTCCTCATGCCAAATCTTCTTGAAGTGAATGTGAAATATATTTGCAGTTGCTTCCACATCTGCTTTCATAGCCTCTGCTGAAATGTTGTCTGGTTCTGCTGATTTGCCACCCTTGATTTGTCTGATGGCCATACTGATCTCCTCAATCGTAGGTGTGCCAACATCGATTGGGAGGTCCGTAGATGCTGCTTCAATGTTGGGTGTGTTCAGTGGAGCTGGTCGATTCAAGAGTTCTTCAAAGTGCCCTACCCACTCATTTCTCTGTTCTTCAGTGTTACTGATTACTTTGCCTTCCTTGCTTTTCACTGGTCGTTCTGGTTTACGATGGTTTCTCGCAAGCTTCTTTGTTGTTTCGTACAATTGTCTCGTATTGACTTCTTTTGCAGCCTTTTCCACCGTCATTGATAGATCTTCCACATATTTTCGTTTGTCAGCTCTGATGCTCTTCTTCACTTGCTTGTTTGCTTCTGTGTATTCAGCTTGTGCCTTGAGTTTCTGCGCTTTTGTTTGGCGGATGTTGATTGTTGCCTTTGTGTTCCTCCTTTGATGAATTCCATCTAGAGCATGAGTAGAGATCGATTCATTGTGATGGTGCTTCTTGTGACCCACAACCTAATGGCATGTTGAAGTGATTGCTTCTTTGATCCTTTTCCGTTTGTTCTTCATGGTATTTTCCCCTCGATTGAGTAGATGATGAAAGGCTTGGAAGTTATTGCTGAGGGCTAGCTTGAATTCGTTGAGTTTTACGGTATCCCGAAGAAAGGTAGTATTGAACTTTTGTGATTCTGTTCTCCCAGTTTTGTAGTATTTCTCTAGTTTATGTTTCATTTTAGCTAACACCAAATGTTGATATGAAGCTGTATTTGCTACTATCTTGACTCTTAAATCCTCCACTGTCCTTCTGAACTTTTGATTGATGCAGATTTTGGTCAATTTGGTTTTATTTAGTGTGATCCGGTGAAACCGCCTGTGACCATTTTGTTGAAGACACATAAGTTTGCGAATTTCTCGCCGTTCTCAGTCCTTTCTTTCAGTCCATTTAGTACCTTTATGTCTTCATATCTAGTGCTGTACATTTAAACCTTGCTATTTAGGTCTCTCATCAGAATGGTCAAGTCATTAGTTGGGAATTTCTCGAAGATTGACTGCAGCCTCTGATGTACTTGATCCTTAACATCTTCATTGTTATCTTTGGTAGGCGCATGGCACTGAATGATATTCATTTTGATTCTCTCTTTCTGTATTTTGAAGGAGGCAGAGGAGAGTATGAATTGTGCAAATTATTTTTTCTGTTGAGCGATTTTTCAGCGAGTTAGTTTTCTACGGGATGGCATCACTAACCCCATACCCAATGCTCCTCTTCTATCCGGGTTTGGGACCGGCAGTAGCCCTAGAGATGCTCCAGGCAAACAAAAAACACAACAGAAATTTTGGCATAAGTATTTTGGTCAGCTAGATTGTGGTTTGAACAATCATTGTGACAGTCAATATCCACTAATCGGGTATCATCGTTAAACTTAATGTGAAATGAAATATTTCGACAATTGATAGATTTAGCTAAATCCTGCAATCTTTGACTGGAATAAATAACACTGAAAATTTATAAGTGGTCTATTCTTTATGTTTTGTTTGTACATGTCACGATTCATTTAGTACCTTATCTTGTTTACTGTTATTACTATTCATGATACTCTTAACAGTATTTAGCTTACGATACACAACTAATAATGGGTGGAAGGGAATTTGAACTTGAACCGGAAGAGTATATATTTGGTGCAATGCAACTTTATGTGGATGTTGTATTCATGTTTATGGCTATAGCTGGTATTGCACGTGCAGCCTCATGAATCCATGACCTTATCAATGATGACGAACAGTTATTATTACTGTCGAAAGATATGATTTTATTGATTTTTTTCTTATTTAAAGTCATAATCATTAATGCGTATGCTAAATCAGTAATATCTCCAGAGTTGTCAATAATTCAGACAAAATAGTAACAGAAATATTGTTATCCTGATCATTATCTTGTAAATATTTCTGAAATCATATGTATTTTGTTGTTTTCTAACATATCTTCATTGTACTTTAATTTTATAAACCATGATCGTAAACAAAAATTTTTGACCGAAATCAGCAATAAATCTTATGAAAGAATATTGTTTCAGGTATTTCTTATTCAATGTAGGTTTGTATGTAATTTGTAATAAGACTATCACTGATAAACAAAATAGTGTACTGGGCTCCTTCAGATAGTAATATTCTTTCCTTGTTTTTTTTTTAAAACGTGAAACCGTTTATTTTGCAGATTATTGATAGCAGACTGGTTTAGATGATGCTTGTTGTGCAAAATTGGTTAGGTGATATTTCAGCTTGACAGTTGAAAATGCACTAGGTATAACTATTTACCAATGGGCAATGATAGTTTTATGAAGAACGGAATAAATTCTGTAGGTTCATTTACTCTAACGTACTTCATGAATTCTGATACTTATTTAAGTTTTGGAAAGAGTGTAGACCAGTTACCAGCAGCACCACCATTTCAAAACAACAAATATCAGGAGGATTTAATTTTTGCAGATTACTATTTTGATTTTATGTATCAATGTTCAGATAAGTGTTCAGCTATGAGATATTTCAAGTTATTATTTAAATTATGTAAATTAACCCTCTGTTGTCAAGGGAAGTTTTGCGTTGGTTTTCAGGAGAACCAAGGAGATTGCCCTCGTGTTAACATTTAGACATGAACAGTTTGGTTCGATTCCATGGTGCAAACACACAGGTACCTAATACCCTGGTAGATCATTCAAACCATTTATTTATATACACTAGTACATATATAGTGATGATTTCCGATCCATGATCGCGTCAATCAATATACACCACATGAACAGGCCGAATCAACCCATCCCGCTTACATGGCTGTCAAATTCATTATTATTGTTAACAATGTTGATATGTAATACAGCAACACAACGACAGTGGCCCTCGGGAATGTTGCAAAACAATCAGTACCAGTATTAATGAAATCAGTCACCCTGCTAACCAATTTTGTGTGTGAATTTTTAGCAATACTTGCCAAAGCAATGCTTATCCAACCACAGTGTTTACGGGGAACCTCTGGTCTCACAGGAAACCTTCAGCTCTGTATAGCAGTATAGCATAAGGTATACATATAGTATGGCATAAGAGAGCAAGAGATGCAGCCCAGTTTGATGCGAATAGGCTCTAACAGTCTCGTTACCCTTTGTCTCGGTGTTGGGTAATGATTGTTTTGCAATACCGAAAGTTTCATTTTTCTACCATATGAGACCTGAGTTAAAGGTAGTATTCCTGAGCTATTTAAAAAGTACACTCAATTTAGAAACTCAGCAATAGTAGGACAAATTCAATTTGAAATAGTATGGATTATCCGGTTGTTGATATTTTAACAGAAATTTGATCAGTCTTAGTTGACATTACCTCGAACTAACCAACTTAAGGAGATATTGATATTTTTCTCAATCACACAACACCGTAAAAAAACTCCTTAGAATATTCCTTCTTAATATAAACAAATCTGAAATAGAAAGTTTTCAGATCATTAAAATAAATGTGCCAGGAGAATTTAATACCATCTAAAATAACAATCGACTGAGTTCAGAGTCAACCTATAAATAATTATGAGCGTGTTCCATTATCCTGGTAAACCAGAATTATTTCAGATACTTTATCGAAGTACGGAGGTATTTAAACCATGGAGAATAATATATGAAAAAGAATTATGGGAGTGAGATATTCTCAGTGAAATATAGTATGTATATGTTTCTGTCTAAACAGATTTGACGTAGAATAAAAATATAATTTTAACATGGATATTTGTCCTACTGTTTACATAGAATAGATAGAATATGGATAAAAGTTGTGCATTTCGTCCTATTTGGGACTCGTCAGTTGTATGTACATGCATCTCAGAGTTGATGTCCACTCCGAAACTCGAACCCGGTGCCATTTGCTTCAAACAACATTGCGTTATCCACTTAATTGCTGAGTCTATACAGACACTCAGTTGTGCTACTGGATTCAGTAGCTAAGTTGACAAAGCAATTGCGTTTGAAGCAAACGGTACTGAGTTCAAGTCCCGGGTTGAATATCAAGCCTCAGATACTAGTACATCCAACTGACGAGTTCCAAGTAGGATAGGACGCTGTTATACTCGTTTCGACGTATCCTTAAACTGTTACGAGTTCACCTTAGTCGAATAACGAGAGCAAAACAATTAATCAGCGTCCAGGTAGGCTACTGTGATCCGATTGTCCCGATTTGTATCAGCAATAAGTCTTGATATAGCGTACAAGGTTTATTCTACAAACACCCAGCCAGCATACAATGCAATCAAGCACACAAATCGCGTTTATTTATACTCCGCAGAGACTTCCTTAGGACAGTCACAAAAATAGCACACTATAATGACACAGTAGCCAATCACAGCCAAGGATTTTTCTGTTGGGAAATGTGATCTCAAAGTCAACTGATCGGCGCATGAAATAAATCCGAAATAAAGATATTCATCAAGCGAGTTCTGAGGATCTTACGTCCCCAACACTCCTCCCCCTTTCAATAGCGTGCACTTCTGCGGCCGACTTGCATTTTGACTGTTGTTCGTCGCTGTCTGAAAGGATACCTTCGGGAACGGATATCAACTTGTGACTGAGTTTCTTCTCTTGGTGGGGATGCCGGTAGGTTGAAGGTATCAAGCAGGATGTCAAGGGGAATATTTCCTGCTCTTGATGGACGGTCTGGGGCTAGACGTTTGCGTATCTGGTTTCGATGGCGTGACCACCTTCCGCCTCCTACATCTACTTCGTACATAACTCGCCCAACTCTTCTGATCACTGGCGCTTGTACATAGGGACCATGATTTGTTCTGAAGTCAAGGGCGAACATAGGACATCCCAACACCCTGGATTCCGCTGCTATCCATATTTTATTTATTCTTCTCCAAAACCATCAGTCCTAATTTAATCACCTGAAATAACTAAGAATAATTGCAGTAATCAATGCACACTGATGCATTTTATGAAACTTCTTTTAAGTCTCTCTGTACAATATTCACTATATCATTAGCTATAAGAACACCAACCAGTTGTCTCTTAGATTAAATGTTGTTAGGTTTTGAAAACAAAAATCAAATGGTATTTCCAGTAAACGTGTATGTTTTTCTATTTCATGTTATTCACACAGGAGTTACTTATCCTTCTAGGCTTACTGGAATCAAAGATCCATGGAGTGTCACTAAACTACACAGTTAATGAAGATACAAATAGAATTTAGAAAGGTTTCACTACTTTTGTGAACAGTTCATATTTCTATATTCAGTTAAATAATTTATGCGTGATCATTTAGATAATATAACAAAGATTACTTCTGTCAATGTTCATTCGGACGGAAAAATCAAATTTATCACAAGATTTGACATAATAATGTATTTAATATATTCTATTTATTAAAGCCTAGATAAAACAGTTGGTCAGTCAATGAAACTAAAAGAAGAATATAAAAATGATAACTTCCAGTCAAAACTAAAGGGGATAAAGCAGTGAAAAAGAGATCAACACAGGAAGTATAGAATAATACCACTTGATTTATGATTTTTAAGTGTTCGTATTCAGAACGACCATTTATTAATATAAAAATTCAGAGAACTGATATTCGTTCATACAATCCAGGCATGGAGATGAAAAAATAATAGGCGAGGTTTGGTTATAACACCAAAAATAAATCAAAACTAGATCTGGGTGCTTTGATATTTATGTTCTTTTTACACAGACTGATGATCAGATTAGTATAACCTGAATATTATTTGATATAATAAATTATCGATAACGTGTTATGAAAAACATAAGTTTACGTTATCATAAATCCAAACGGTTATTATCAATCGATGTAACTTATTTACTTCATAAAATGTGCGATGACATGTCATAAGCAATGGGAGAATATCAATTTTCTGTATCTTGCGCACTTTAATTACATAACTATGTTTATCATATCATTTCACTACAATGTGCATTGAATGAATACTCTCCATGAAATGTGAAAATATGTTAAACATCGGTGAGTTGAACTACTGAGAAAACCTGATATCTTTTAACTACAATAAACACTGTTTTTCGAACGTTATTAACAACAGCATAATGGATTATTTTCGAAATAATCCCTAAACTCCATAACAGTTATAACATCTAACGGTGTATAAATTCTAGAAAACAATCCGAAGTGTTGATTACCATTTATTATCATACAGCACAGGTTACATACAAAAGCACAAGCACACGAAGCGACTACGAAAGGATATGAGAATGTCGGGGAGCAAATAAATAGAGGTTAAGTCTCACAGGGAAACGAATGAGTCATCGAGTTATTTAAAATGTATTTCTTTTAAATCAAAGTCTTGATTAACTGACAGCATAAAAAAAATAAAAGGACTAGTCTGGCAATAAACTAAGATATGAAGATGAGATAAAAGTTTAGCATGGAACCGGGAACGATAAAAAAGAGTAAGTAAGTATAAAATGTAATATATAAGCAATTGTTTCAATTATGATAAAGTTTATTTAACAGTTTGAATGAATTATATCAGCTCCTCGATATCTTTATCAGTGGGATAATAGTAAGGCGTAGCAGAGATTGTGACTATCTTTGGGTTAGATATACTACTTGAATTAGGATCAAGTTTCGATTGCTAAAACTACTCTCCTACAAATCCTTCCAAAAGAATTGCGTTAAAACTGTTAATAAAAGTGAAATCTGCTAAAGAACCGCTAAAGAAGATAAGGAACCAAAGAAATGTTCATATATCTGACTGATAAACTCTAACAACCATACACGAAAACAAACTTATAAACTTTTCGTTTTATACAGCATTTGATTTCAAGAAACTACTGAGTCAAAATTCAACGCTTTAATTTATCACAATTCGTCAGTTTATGATGTATTCAATTCTAGCAGGAAATCATGACCCATAAATTCAGTGATGAGATAGAATAGAAAATAATTATCAATACTGGAAGACAATTATACAGTATTGAAAACTGACACAAGTCTAAAATATGAAGCTTTTAGTCCTAATTGAAAAGTTTAGTGGTGTTGTGTTATCTGTAAAACATGACGGTC